GAGTTGGCATGTTAACCTCAAAGGCAGTGGTTCGAATCTACCAACTGCTCTGTGTGAAAAAGATGAGGCTTTCTGCTCCTGTAAAGATTTACAGCCTCAGAAACCCTATACAGGGTCGCTAGGAGTTGGCACCAGCTTGATGATATACCAGCACCATCACTATATACATACTTCTATATTATTGTTGCTATGTGTCGTCAAGTCTGTTCCAACTCTAGTGATCCTGTATAGGGTTTCCAAGGCTGTAAACCTTGGTGGGAGAAGAGTCATCTTTCCCCTGAGGCGTGATGGATGGATGAGTTTGAACTGCTGACCTTGTGGTTAGCAGTCTAGTGCTTGTTCTACAGAGTCACCAGCACTTTCTCTCTCTCTCAATGAGATACATGAAACCAGTTGACATTGTAGTTTTCAAAAGGCAAATATGACCAACAGTTAATCTAAGTGCCTTGTTTCGGCTGCTGAGGGAACCTCAACTTTTGGATCTCCAGATACACAGATGGATGTATAGATAGATATAAATAGGTAAGTAGGTAGATAGATAGATAGATAGATAGATACCAATGAAAATCAAAGATCATAGCCTTCAATATGAGTTGTACCTCAATGTAAAGAAAACAAAAATCCTCACCACTGGACTAATAAATAACATCATGATGAATGGAGAAGATTGAAGTTGTCAAAGACGTCATTTTGCTCTCATCAACTGTCAACACTCATGGAAACAGCAGTCAAGAAATCAAACAACATATTGCATTGGGCAAATCTGCTGCACAAGACCTCTTTAAAGTGTTGAAGAGCAAAGATGTCAGTTTGAGCACCAAAGTGGGCCTGACCCAAGACATGATATTCTCAGTAGCCTTATATGCGTGTGAAAGTTGAAACAATGAATAAAGACGACTGTAGATGAATTGATGCATTTGAATTAGGATGTTGGAGAAGAATATTAAAAGTACCATGGAACATGTACAGCCAGAACACTTCTTAGAAGCCAGGATGGCAAGACCTCATCCCTCATACTTTGGACATATTATCAGAAGGGATCAGTACCTGGAGAAGGACAGCATACTTGGTAAAGTGGAGGGTCAGCGAAAAAGAGGAAGACCCTAGGGACATGGCTCAGCACAGTGGCAGCAGCAATGGGCTCAAACGTAACAACAGTTGTGAGGATAGAGCAGGAGTAGATGGTGTTGTGTTCTGTTGTGCACAGGGTCACTATGAGTCGGAGCCAACTCAATGGCACTTAACAACAAACAACATATGGATATATAAAGAGAGAGATTTCCTTCAAGGAGAGACTCACACAGTTGTAGGGGCTGGCAAATCCTAATCCATAGATCCGGTGGTAAAATGGAGGCCTCACTGGCTCACAGATTATGGGGCTGGCAAATCCACCATTTCTAGATCAGGTGGCAGGTCAGGGACTTCTGCAGGTTTATGTCCCAGGAACCAACATGCAATGATGAGACGGATACAGGAGCAAAAGAGCACAGTTAGCCAGAATATTCGTTTCCATGGGTGGGGGGGAGGGGTGCAGGCCACGCCCCAAGGAAACTCCCCTTCCAACCATTTGGCTGCTCACATGAGATTACACAATGGAGTAAGAGATACGTATGTAGTACCTGTCAAACCTCTGAGAACCAGAGCCCAGCAAAATGGACACAGAACTTTCAGCCTCACAGCTGACTTCCGGTTCCTCCAGTGATCTACCTGCATTTCTTCCACACCTGTGAGCCAGGTGGGAGGAAGGGACTCCCACTCTGTCAAGGCCATGTGAGTCAGGGCCAGGGCCAGGGCCAGGGCCAGGACAAGAGAGGGTGGTGCCAATATTTAAGGAGGTGCTGACACTCAGGATTGAGCAAGCATAGCATTGTCATTCATGCTGCCCTGAGAGGCAGTGCACCCTTAAATTCCACACCATGCATATTTCACTTGCCTCTACTGCTAACCTCTAGGTTGGAGGTTCGAACCCTCCAGACACTCTTTGGAAACCCTATACAGGGTTGCTGTGAGTTGGCACCAACTGGATGTCACTTAACAACAACTACCCCATAATCCTGGTTCCCTGTTAGAATCCCGGCTAGAGGCTGTAAACTCTGGTTAAGGTAAAGGTGCATTGTGTGGACAGGAACAAAACACGGTGGACGACACACCATCTTCCTTCAATATAGCTTTCGTAGACTTCTGTGGCCGTTCCTCTGAAAGGCAAGTCAGCAGTAGCAACCTCCTTCAGAACTACAACCCTGAGCCAAGACAGTTAACTGTGGATTGGTCTTTGCCTTTTGAAAACCACGACCCCAACTGTATGTCCTTTCAGGTAATTTAACCAACATCTGGCAGCTGGTGCTACGTTGCAGAAAGTGTCCTAATGGTCCCCAGGAACCGAGGGAAAGGGTGTGGGAGCAGTGGTACCTCAGTGGTAAGAATCTTGCCTTCCGTGCAGAAGACCCGGGTTTGATTCCCAGCTGATGCACCTTATGGGTAGCCTGTCAGTGGAGGCTCACGTGTTGCTGCAATGATGAACAGGTTTCCATTGAGCTTTCCAACTAAGACAAATTAAGAAGAAAGATGTGGTGATCCACTTCTGAAAAATGAAGTCAGCCCATGTAAAGCCCAAGGTACACAATGCCCAATCCTCTTGTGCACAGGGCTGCCCGATGTTAAGCAGCCAGCAGCAACAGGGAAACGTGTAGGTATTAGAAACGAAAAGTAGAGTTTGAAAGATGTGTGGCAGCCAGAGTGTCCTTCCCAGGGAAGGTCAGCCCTAGCTAACTGTGGGCATCCCCGCGCCTCCCTTTGAGGTTCTATTGGTGGCATTCATCAGCCTGCATCTCCCTTCATCCTTGCAGAACATCTCCTCCAATGTACTGGAGGAATCCGCGGTGTCCGACGACACACTGTCACCGGACGAGGATGGCGTGTGCTCAGGCCGGTACTTCACAGACAGCGGCCTGGTGGGCCTCCTGGAACAAGCAGCTGAGCTCTTCAGCACGGTCAGTACCCGCCATCGGGGTCTCTGGGGACTGCCCCAAGTAGGTGGCTTGAGAGACCACACACATATTATCCGCCAGTTCTGGAAGTTCAAAGTCCCAGTTCCAGGCCTCTGCTCTTAGCCACGGGCACTCCTCCCTGCCTGTCTCCCCTTGTGTGTCTCTGTGTAACTCAGAAGTGATTAGGTTTAGGACCCACCCTGCTGGGTTATAATCTCCATACTTCCATGCAGGGTCAGTGGACAGGCCCAGGAGTTAGGGTTCCAATGCAGATTTGGGGGGAACATCATTCAATCCCCTAAGGAGCCCTTGTGGCGCAGAGTTTAAAGCACTCAACAGTTGGAGGAACCCACCAGCATCTCCAAAGGAGAATGATGGGGTAGCCTTAGAAACCCTGTGGAGCCATTCTGCTCTGTCCTATCAGCTTCTTAGGAGGAGGTAGTCCACTCGACAGCCGCTGGACAGCCACGGGGTTTGGGGAATTCACCTCCATAGCCGTGCAAAATTCATCCTCTCAGGATGTGACCTCACACGTTCAAGCTGAACCGCAGGTTCTGTGGTTGGAACATCAGCTGCACCTCACAATGACACCCGCAGTGCCGGGCTCACAGGGCACAGCCTGACTGGGGTTCTTGGATGTCCACAGATTGCATCCGCACCACGCAGGAGGCCCACAAGGAGAGCCTTTTGTCTTCCCCACTGGCTCCTGGGTTCTGGGCAGCAGTTTCCCAGTGTGATTTCCACTTAATGAGGGTGGAGGAATGTGCCCAGGGTTACACAATAAATGATGAGGCTCCTTCCCCTCTCACAGTGAAAACATTTGGAGAGGAGCCCCTGGGGCCAGAGGGGGAGGCGTCTGTAAATGCTGCTTATCTCAGAATTATTATAACTGGAGACGCCCTGCCCTCCCACCTCAATAACTGGTGCTGGTATCCACACTGACAATGAGAGAAAGAGGGTGAAGTCACGGGGATTCCGGCAGGAGACCAAGTCACGGACCCTTTTCCCTTTTAGTAACCCTCCCCTCTCCTCCATTTTAAACCAAGTTACCATGTCATACAGCACCTCCGTGGTACAATGGCTAAGCACTTGGCTTCGCACTGAAAGCCTGGCAGTTTGAACCAAGCAGCCATTCTGTGGGAGAAAAAAAAAACAAAAACCTCGACTTTTGTTCCCATAAAGTAGCAGCCTAGGGACCCAACGGGGCAGTCCTTGTCAGTGACTTGGGGTCGGTGAGTCGGAACCCACTCACAAGACCTGACAACAGTATTTCATACTTGACGGTTTTGGGCTGAACCAAGTTTGTGTTCATTCTTATATCTGCCTCTTTTCTGCTGTTCATTTCTAAGTTTCCTCACCAGAACATGTGTGTATTTTATTTATTGTTTTTGCTTCTCTCTCTCTCTCTATTTCTTTCTTCTTGCCTTTCATTCTAGGACTCAAAGAAAGTCCAATATGCTTTTGTTTTGCTTGAAATCCAAGGAAATGAGCTCCTTGGAATCCCTAAGCACCTAGATACCCAGTAAGAGCCCTAGTGATGCAGTGGGTTAAGTGCTGGGCCACTCACCACAAGATGGGCAGAGTTGGAACCCACCAGCCGCTTCCTGGTAGAGAGATGAGGCCATCTGTTTCCATACAGATTTACAGCCTCGGAAACCCTATAGGGCAGTTCTACTCTGTCCTTTAGGACTGGTGTGAGTCGAAAGCAACTGACAGCAGTGGGTTAGTTTTCTTGGGTTTAGGCTACAGGTGGCTCCCTGGTGAAATGAACATGCACAAAGATGGCCTTTCTGAATTACAGTTAGTCCCTGCTGCCAGTCTCCTCCCCCGCGTGTTTCTCTTCTGGGAGAACCCTTTCCCTATTAGCAGCCTCAGATAGGGCCATTCAGGTTGGGACCTAATAATAAAATCCGGTGTCCACTACACTACATGGATGATGAACTCGGGTTGTTCCTGTGTTTCCACCGGATTGAATTCTGTTGCTCTTCCTCTTCCTCATTCAAGGGGGGTTTGTACGAGACGGTTAATGAAGTGTACAAGCTGGTCATTCCCATCCTGGAAGCACGCCGAGACTTCCGGAAGCTGACCTCCACTCACAGCAAGCTGCAGAAGGCCTTCGACAGTATCATAAGCAAGGTAGCTACCGACCCTCACCAGCACTTCCCGAGACCTGGCTTCGGGCCACCCTGTCCCCAAGATGCCTGTCCTCACCCCAGCCCACTTCCTCTCCAGCGAGCGATTCACCTTGAGTGCCTGGTTGCTTAAGGGGGTGGTGGTAGTTCTGAGGGAATACTCTTTCCTTTCATGTGGGAGACTCTGACTTGATTCCAGCCAGCACACCTCACACTCATCACCTGTCTGTCAGTGGAGGCTCATGTATTGCTAGGATACGACCAGGTTTCAGTGGTGGTTCCAGACTAAGACTAGGAAGACAGGCCTGGAAATCTATGTCTGAAAATTAGCCAATGAAAACCCTATGGACCATAATAATATGTGATCCACAGCTGATCGTGGGGCTGGCACAGGACGAGGCAGAACTTTGTTTCATTGTGTGTGAGGCATCCAGGAGTCGTGGCCAGTTTAAACAGCATCATTATAGTACCTCTCACCTAGCAAGCCGAGAAAGGCTGCAGTAGGCAGGAGACCAGAATTCATTCATTGTATGAGGAAAGACTTTAAAAGTAGGATATGTGAACGTCACTTTAAACTCACCCCAACGTAAGTCCTAGAAATCTTTCCTGGAAAAAATTCTCTCCGCTCCTTATTTCCAAAGTTGATCCCATAAGCATTGCATTATCTCTGAAGGCTGGGTTTTTGTTTATGGTAACCATAGGGATAAAATGCTTGGCCCCACAACAAGAAAACTCTCCTGCCTTTTGCTACAATAGACACAATGTAGCTAAGGAGCGATTTGATTTTCTGATCTTGTTACTCAGGGACATAAGAGGATGTTTGGAACATACTTCCGAGTTGGTTTCTATGGATCGAAGTTTGGGGATCTGGATGAGCAGGAATTTGTATACAAAGAGCCCGCGATAACGAAGCTTCCGGAGATCTCTCACCGATTAGAGGTAAGCATTCGAGAAGCCTATGTGTATGTTTCACAACAAACAAGGTCTGGTGGCTCGTGCAATGTCTAGATTCATCTTTGACCTATATAACAGCTTTTCCTACACCTCGATTACAATACGAAGGTTTTCACTGAGGTCACATGATGAAGCAAGACTGGAATCACTGTCCCCTAAGACACCATGTCTGCTTTTCAATACTGGTTAATCTCCACTTTGCATATTTATCTTTCAGACCCTTCATCCATGTCTTGTGCTTTCTTAGAACCTGCCCACATTTTGCAAGTAACCTTTGCAGGTTATCATCCTGATTTTGAAGGAATCTGGTTGGAGTTACTGCTGGAAAACGCTTCAGCTACTGATCAGCTGTCACTGTGGGGTGAATCCCACTTCTGACCCAGAACCATTCAGTATTAACGTCCTGTGGGCTTTTGTCTCTTCCTGCTGATTCAAAGAGGCTCGCTCCCTAATGTCCCCAAATAGAGGAGCAGGTTCATGGGAGAAAAGGGGGAGGGGCGGTGGTGAAGAGCGTGGGAAGGAGTCAGAAAAAGTAAGACAGAATTTGAAAGGACCAGGTACTAAGAACTCAGGAAGAAAGTCAGAGTGCTCCCCAAGTAAAGCCACTCAGGCTGGGTGACTGGGGTCCCCCGAGCTGATAGCCCATGCTCTCTTGTTATTGCTTTAAATTTTTTCTCTTTCTCAGCTGTAAAACTTCAAAGACCTTCATTGTCTAATTGTTCTCAATGTTCTCCATCTCTGCCAGATATGACAAGGGACTTTCATCCTTTCAAAAAAGAGCCCCTGAAAAGGGGGGTGGGGAGAGTTGCAGACAGTCAACACACTTGACTGTTAACCAAAAGGTTGGAGGTTCAAATCTACCCAGAGGCACCTAAAGATAGGCCCGGCAATCTACTTCTGAAACATTAGCCACTGAAAAGTCACAGAGCACAGGTCTACTCTGACACATACAGGCTCTCCTTGACTTGGAGCTGACTAGATAGCAACCAGTTCGTCCTGAATAGAGGAAACAGTATTAGACAGACAACCAGGAGGCTGGACCAATCCCTAACTCTCTTTCATATGAGCTGGACAACTATAGGCCAGTCACCCACCCACCCTGGGCCATGGCTTCTTTGAGTCTAAAAACAACAACAAAAGCTGCTGTCAAGCCCATTTCAACTTATAGCGGCCCCATGTGACTCTGAGTACAATTATGCTTCACAGGGTCCTCAGTAGTTGATTTTTCAGAAGTCAGTTGCCAGGCCTATCTTCCAAGGCGCCTCTGGTCCAGGAAGGATAGATCCCAAAAGAAAATCACCAAGACATGTCATAATCAAGCTCTCCAAAATCAAAGATAAGGAAAGAATCCTGAAAGCAGCAAGGGAAAAAAGAAGTGCTACATACACAGGCAAGCAAATCAGATTAAGCTCAGATCTCTCACAGAAACTATGCAGGCAAGAAAGCAATGGGGAACCATATACAAAACCCTGAAAGAAAAAACTGCCAACCAAGAATCCTCTACAGTCTCAGGAAATGCTGAACTTTACTCATTATCTCAGGAGCCTTTCAATAATCAAGGAACAGACTTACCTGATTCTCAGTCCAAACTGACTCTCCTCCTGAGACCACCCAAACCAAACCCCCTGCCATTTGTTGAGTTAATTATAACTCATTGCGACCCTGCAGGACACCATAGCTCTGCTCCGTGGGGTTTCTGAGGCTGTAAGCTTTATCGGAGCAGACAGCCTCATTGCTGTCCCTGGGAGTGGCTGGTAGATTTGAACCACCAACCATGTGGTGAGCAGCCCAGTGCTTATCCCACAGCACCACCAGGGCACGTCTCTTTCCAGAAGACCCAGAGGTACATCATAGTACAATGACCTTTGTAAACGCCTGGTTTCTCTTTCCCAGGGATTTTATGGTCAATGTTTCGGTGCGGAATTTGTGGAGGTGATCAAAGACTCGACCCCTGTAGACAAAACCAAGCTGGATCCAAACAAGGTATGGAGGTAGTGGGCACAAAATGACTATCCAACTCAGAGACCCTGACTCTTTCCCAAGGACAGAAAGTGACCTCGTGTCACTGGGCTGGCCAAGTCACTTACATGCAGCCAGACATTCTTGTCTCGGGCTTAACTCCTGTTTGGTTGGCTTGTAAAGAAGCCATACTCACTGGTCCTGCATGAGACCCTATGTCCGCATCGTTGCATTTCATCCTATGGCATCCCTTCTGAAGTAGCTTTTGCTGCTCTCAGTTTACAGAAAAGGAGCTCTGTAAGGGGAAGCGACTTTGCCAGGTCATACAACTAACAGAGCCAGTCCTCAAACACAGGGCCTGCCATCTCCAAACCCGTCACTGTATCGTTGGGGATGGAACAGAAAGGGTGGGGGCTTCGGGGTGATCCCTGCCGACCCAGCCTGTGTCCCATTAAAGAGCGTCTCCCTCTTAGAAACAGTGCCCGTGTAAGGTATAACTAAGGGGACGGAGGTATTGTTGGGGATGGAGGTCCATGACCCTCTGGCAGACTCATCCCGAGATGCCATGAGGATGAGGTCAGGGGGCAGGACTGGACCGGATGGAAGGTTTTGCTTTCTTCCTATGGCCGAGCACTTTCTCCATCCAGGCAGTTCCTGGTCGAGAGTTCATGGGGTCACTGTTGTAGAACGGAATTAGGCTTCAGACAGACAAGTCCAGGGTCCGTGGGAGGTGGGCGTGGCTGTGTGTTAAGGTGGGTGGTCAGCACACAAGCTCCGTGGATCTGCTGTCACTTCACCAGCCCACGGGAGTCTTTTCCCTTCTTGTAAAATGCACAGGGTAAGTGCTGAGAACTTGAGATGAGCGTCCAAACCTCACATTCCAACCAGATTTCACTACCCTGAATCTTGGCTTCTGGTCCGAGGCCAGTGACCTGCCTGTCCCCCACCCAGTGCATGCAATCCTCGAGCACATGGCCTGAGCTATCTTTTTTGTGTCTTAAAAAGATCTTTTTCCTGTTCCCTCTCTTTTTTTATTTGAAAGTTGGTGGAACTAGGCACACCAGAGCATACATACCCACTAAGGAGTTTCTGCATGCAGCATCTTCCCATTGATCCTCGCTGTTTCTCTCCCCTCCCCTCTCCCCCCACTGACTTAGAACCACCTCCCCCTGAACCTTTCATGTCTGCCTGGCAGGGACTGTGGACAGTTCAACCCTTACAGATAATTCTTACAAAGAGCTCAGTGTTCACAGCAGATGTTTTTTCCTAGCTTAGCCAAAGAGTTGTTTAGAGATGACTTCTATAGATCTTTTCTGTTCACACTTTAAAGATTTTTCTTAAAGTGATTGATTCGGGGGTTTCTCCAGCTTCGCTAGAATATGTGTCTGAATTCTGCAAGAATTTGAGAATAGGTTCCATATAGTTCCCCCTTTTAATCAGCATTCTTCTGTGGATTCCTTAATCAGAATGCTCAGTAATGGTGGCTGGGCACCATCCAGTTCCTTCCGGTCTCATGGAGCCATTCTGGTTTCTTCTCCTCTTTCCTTTGCTGCTCCAGGAATCAAACCCATCACTGTCCAGTTCATTGTGACTCTTAGTGAGCCTATAGGACAGAGTAGAACAGCACCATATACTTTCCAAGACCGTAAATCTTCACAGGAGCTGATGGTGGTGCCTTGTCTCCTGCAGAGCAGCCCAACACTTAAATCATGGTCTGCTTTGCTCCAGCAATGTGTGCGTGTGTGTGTTTAGTGCCATCGAGTCAGTTCTGTCTCATAGTGACACTGTATAGGTTTTCTAAGGAGCAGCTGGTGGGTTTAAACCACCAGCCTTGCAGTTCAAACTGGCTTTGCAGTCCAGTGCTTATCCTACATCATCACACCAGGACTCCAGGAATAGAGACCAATTTTCCTATCTTGGATAAAGGGAGCTCTTTATCATATATATATATTTTTTTTTTCTTGTATTTTTGGAGTTCCCAGGTGGTGAAAATTGTTAATGCTCTCGGCTGCTAACCAAAAAGTTGTTCAAGTTCACCCAGAGTCACCTCAGAAGACAGGTGATCTACTCCCAAAATAAATATCACCCCTGAAAACCCTAGGGACCACAGTTCTCATTTGGCCCACATGGGGCACCATTAGTAGCAGGTGATTCAAAGACAACTGGCTTCTTTGTCTTCTATAAAGATGTTTTTAAAAGTTTGTGGAAAATGGAATTAAAGGTAGTGGAATTTTCCAACAAACTTTGTAAAGCCCCTTGGTATTTAGTGTACCCTTCCTCACATGTGATCAGATTGATTCTTTTGGCTCTGAGTTCTAGGGGTTTTGACACAAGGAACCACCATAGTCAAGATGGAGGGCTGTCCCATCAATCCAAAATACTCCCCTGTACCCCTTATAGTCCCCCCTTGACCTCCCCCTCACCCCACGACAGCCGCTGAGCTGCATGCCATCTGCAGGCCTGCTTTTCCCAGAATGCCTTTTCAGACTGGCTTCTTTCACGTAACAGAACGCGTTTGAAGTCCACCCACTTATAAGACTTCCTTCTTTTTCATTGCTGAGTAGTGACCTGGTGGCACCGTGGGTAAAGGGCTTGACTACTAACCAAAAGGTTGGTGGTTCGAGCCCACCAGCTGTTTCATGAGAGACGGATGTGGCAGTCTGATCCTGTAAAGATGACAGCTTCAGGACCCCATGGGGCAGTTCTCCTCTGTCCTGTGGGGTCACTGTGAGTCTGAGTTCACTCAATGGTGTGGGTTTATTTGTTTGTTTGATTTGACGTAATAGCCCTCTGCAAGAATCTTCCATCATTTGTTTATTCACCCCCCAGGTAAGGGGCGTTATTTATATTTACGTCATTTATGACTACAATTGGGAGCACCGTGGCTCTCTCTATATGATAAGCACTGGACTGCAGTACAAACCCACCAGCCACTCTGTGGGAGAAAGATGAGGCTTTCTGCTCCCAAGAAGATTTAAAGCTTCAGAAACTCCATACAGGGTTGCTCTGCGTTGGAACTGACTCCACAGCATTTAACAACAACAATTAAAATTGCTATCAATATTTGGAAACCTACATTTTCATTTCTTTTGAATAGGTGTGTAGGAGCAGGGCTGCTGGGTTGTGTGGTTCATGTACACTTAACTACCATTTCCACCATCACCGACGTATGTTCGGCCCAGGCACTCGGGGATCCGGGCGGCACTTGGTGGTATCAGTTTTTTCCAGCCCTCCTAATAAGTAGGTAACACAGCCTTTGCCATTCTGAAGAGAAGAGTTTGTCTCTCTTGAAAAGCAGTTTGCATGATTAAAAGGGCAGGTAACAGCAGGTGTTGTGAGGATGTGGAGATAATTGGAATGTTCGTTCATTGCTGGTAGAACTGCGGGGTGGTACAGCCGCTCTGGACAACAATTCAGTCGTTCTCAACAAGCAGAACATAGAAACCACCCTGTGATCCAGCAATCCCACTTCTAGGTGGTAACCCACGAGGGCAGAAAACAGGGTCTCAGTTCTTGTTCGCTGCGGCACCAGTGCCAATAGCAGATGAATGGATAAACACGCATGTTTCACACACAGTGGCATTCAGGAGTTGCGATGCACACCACCGCACACACCAGCCTTGAGAACAGGATGTGGAGTGAAATCAGTCAGACACAGAAGGGCAAAGTGTATGAGCCCTCATATATAAAATATGGGGGAAGAGCCATTGCTTACAGAGCTCTGAACTTCGGCTAAAAATTTTTTTAAATTCCTCATGAGACAGACTAGAGCTGCCCCCTAGGTTTCCAAGGCTGTAAGTCCTTACGGAAGCTGACTTGTATGTCTTTCTCCTGTAGAGCCGTGGGCAGGTTCTCTGTGGGGAGGAAAACAGCTGAGGGCTCCTTGGACTTCTATTCCGGGTGCTGGTATAAATTGGGAAACAAATAAGGGTGATTGCTGAACAACATGACAAATGCAATTAATATCACTGAACTGCCCTAGTGGCACTTCAAGTTAAGCGGACTTCTAACTGCAAGGTCAGCGGTTCAAACCCACCAGGTGCTCTGAGGGAGAAAGATGAAGCTGTCTGCTCCTGTAAAACACTGAGGTCTCAGGAACCCTATATAGTGTGGCTGTGAGTTGGAATTGATGGGACAGCAGTGAGTTTGGGGTTTATTTTTCTCAGCCCGTGTGAGGATTGCTGAAATGACAAATGGTTTTGTGACTTTGTATCTTCCGTAGTTTAAACAAAGTAAGGAGAAATGCACTTAGCAATCTGTGACAGTAAAGGTTGGGTTGGTTCTGGTGGGAGGGACTGCTTCTACCTGACTTCACACACACACACACACACACACACAAGTCCTCTCTCCTGCCTCGGGGGCATGGCTGCAGGGCTGGGAGGGGTGACCCCAGAACTGACTCCGCTCCCCTCCCTTTTCCCTCAGGCCTACATCCAGATCACCTTTGTGGAACCCTACTTTGATGAGTACGAGATGAAGGACCGGATGACCTACTTTGAGAAGAACTTCAACCTGCGCAGGTTCATGTACACAACGCCCTTCACCCTGGAGGGGCGTCCCCGGGGGGAACTTCAGGAACAGCACCAAAGGAACACAGTCCTGACCACCTCGCACGCCTTCCCCTACATCAAGACCCGCATCCGCATCATCCAGAAGGAGGAGGTACGCAGACCACAGGGACACACACGCCAGCTCACTCCCCAACTGCCAGGTGTCCTACTTGTAACCAAACCCCAGGGCCTCTGTCCAGGGGACTCCAACTCACAGCGACCCCACGGGACAGACTAGAGCTGCCCTGTGGGGTTTTCTTAGGCTGTAATTCTCTTTTAAACTTTTTCTTGTGAATTGAGTGGTGAAGGTTTATAGAGCAGATCATCAGTCTGACACGCCCCAAATCATATACTTGGTTCCATCTCAGTGATTGAATCCCTTCCATGGGACATGGTTCATCCCAGTCCCTCTCTGTGGTTCCTGACTCCATTCCTCTCCCGGCCCTACGGATTTTGCCCTTAGGTAAATGCTGCCCTTTTGATCTCAAAAGGTTGACTATTTTGTGGTGTGCGTACCTCACATCTGTAGCTGTCCTTACTGTAGACCTGACTAGTGCTTGGCTGAAATTTGAGTTCAGTTCCAGACCTGAAGGGAGAACAAAGATCAGAGTCCCAGGGTTCTGCCAGTCTCTATCCCCTTATCATGGAAGAAGATAGCCAGGCCTTTATTGCGCAGCATTGCAGGGGTGGTTTTGAACTGCCAGCCTTTCGGCCAGCAGCCAAGAGCAAACTATTTGCGTCACTCGGGGGCCTGGAATCTCATTTAGGCACAACTGAGTATTCTATAGCACAGTTGTGCTGTGCAGTTTACCTGTTAAATATTTTACATGCTAAATATTTTGTATGTTAGATATAACTTCTTAATATAAATGCATCATTTTAGTACATAGGATATGTGTCTATATAATTGGAGTCCCTTTGTGGTACAAATAGCTAACTTGCTCGGCTGCTAACCAAAGGGTTAAAAGTTTGAATTCCACAGAGGCACCTCAGAAGAAATTCCTGGCAATCTCCTTTCAGCCATTACAAACTCTGTGGGACACAGTTCCAATTGACAACTGTTTTTTTTTGTTTTTGTTTTTTTATGGCCTATGTTCAATGATACATTCATGTAAAATTACATACTTGCCCGCCCACAAGGTTAGCAGTTCAAGCCCATCAGCTGCTCCATGGAAGAAACATAAGGCTTTCTGGTCCTGCAAAGATTTACAACCTCAGAAACCCTGTACAGGGATTCTATGAGTCCGAATCAACTCAACAGCACTTAACAACATTTTAAACATTCCCTAGAAAGTCGTGTGTATATTTACAAGTGTCCAGGTGATTCGAGTGTTGTTAGTTACTAGGGACCAGAGCAGCAGGAAGGTGGTCCCCCGGGTAGGGGTGAGGGTGGGGTAGTGGTGTGCTGTTGAAAGTTACCTTGTGGACAATACTCCCAGCTTCAGCCTGGTGCCTTGTACCAGCCCTGTATCTTCTGGTCCTCATCTGTGGATCGACAGGAAGCACCCCAGTTGCTTTACAGCAGAAAACTCTCAGAGGTGCACTGGTGGCACTGTGATTGAGCACTAGGCTGCTACTGGACAGGTCAGCAGTTCGAACCTACCAGCAGCTCTGCCGGACAAAAATGAGGCTGTCTGCTCCTGTAGATTTTCAGCCTTGGAACCTTCATCTCTGTCTTTCCAGAGTCAGCATTAACTCAATGGCACTGGGTTTGGTTTGGTTTAAGGGACTCTCAGACATCTATGGACACAGGACTAATTGAGAAAGTGTCCCAAATCCCAGCATCAACTCAGACCACATAGGCACCAACATTTTATTAGATATTAAAGCACCCACGAGGTCACCAGTGGTCTGCAAGTGGCTCCGACTCGCGGTGGCCACCGTGTGCCAGGGCCCTAGAGGGTTTCCAGTGACTGATTTTCAGAAGTCGATCATCAGGCCTCTCTTCAAAGGCATCTCTGGGTGAATTTGAACTGCCAACCTTTCTTTGGGTGAGCAGCTGAACGCATTAACCTTAGCACCACCCAAGCCCAGTGCTATGGGGTTGAGTCTGACTCATCACGACCCTTTGGAGAGTTTCCAAGACTCAATCTTGACAGAAGCAACAGCCTCATCTTTCTCGGATGAAGCAACTGGTGCTTTTGAACTGCTGACCTTGCAGTTAGCAGCCTAACTCACAGCACCAATTTTCACCTAAAACGTGCATGTGCGTTGGTTTGTCCCTTGTTTGTACAGGGCCCCAGCCTCCTCTGGGACTATGGGCCCGCGGGTCACGGTTCCAAGAAGTACTGGTGATTTATTGTGTGAGCACTTGACTGCTACCCAAAAGGCCAGTCATTCGAACCCACCAACCACTCATGGGAGAAAGCTGTGGCAGTCTGCTCCCATAAAGAGGACAGCCAAGGGGACCCTATGGGCCGATTCTCCTTTGTCCAATAAGGTGACTGTGAGTTAGCATCCATGTGACAACAGTGTGTTTCTGTTTTGTTTGGGTTTGCTCTCAGTTCAGCTTTGCCTGTCTTGTAGAAACCACACCACGGTACACTGTCTGTGATGGTCCAGTTGTGTTTTCTGTCCAGCAGGATGAGGGCTTCTGTCTGAGAACAAAATCTCCCCGGATGAGACTGATGCCCCCACCGCCTGGCCTTTTACAGCCCAGCTATCTGTGTATACCTCACATCGCAGGAATTTTTCTAACGTCCTGCCCAAACATTCCACTTGTCTTCACGGACCAGCTCTTTTTCGTTCCACACCCACAATCCATCCGTTCACACATGGCTTAATTAGGTTAGGGATTAAAACAACAAGAGAAACTGGCATCAGCAGGTTGGCGAACAAACACCAACAAGCCTTGGGGAATGTCTGTGGCATCGGGCAGGAGCGGAATTGATGAGTTTTATGGGGATCCGTCTGCCAGCCTCAGAGGGGGCTTCTCAGCAGGAATACGGGGTTTATGGTGCCTTTTTTTTCTTCACTTTATCGAGGCATCTTTCTGAAGTTCAGATTTCTTAGAGTAAAAAAGAAGAAAACAAGATACGCATTTTTAACCGTATACATAACGCACCTCTGAAAATGAGCAGATAATTTGACTTTTTGACCATTTCATTGTACTTCCTTTGAAATACTTGGAAAATGTATGGTAATAATAGAATTATGCCTATAGTAACATCTCAACCATATTTTTTAAATGTTACCTATAAAATTTTTTGTCTAGCAACATTTTTGCCTTATATTAACCATTAACATTGCCACATATACTGAAACTGGCATAGCCTTTAAAAATCATTTTAACATTCTTTTTTATTATTGGTAAGTAACAAATACTATTTTGCTAAATACTGAAGTACACAATTTGAGGTTGCTGCTTACTGATAACACAATTTTTAGAGTCCTGGTGTGGTGCTGTAGGATAAGCACTCGATCACAAGATCGGTGGTTCAGACTCAACAGTCGTTCCCCAGAAACCCTATACAGGGTCACTGTGAGTCAAAACCGACTTGGTGGTACTTAGCAACCCCGCTACCACCGATAGGAGTGCAGAGATAAGAAGGGTGCTCATGAGGACATCTGCTGTAGCTCGGACTGTTTTGGACTTTGAACACTTAGACATTCTACGCCTCACTCAGAGAGACCCCTTCATTCTTCATTTCTGTTGTCACAGAAACCCCACGCAGGGATGACTTTAAGAAACTGAAATGATCCTCTCACACTTTAGGAGACTAGAAGTCCCAGTCCCAGACGTCAGCTCGAGGGGAAAGTTCTCTGCTGGTTCTGGGGAACGTCCTTGTCATCCACCATCTCCTGGTCTAGGAAGTGCTCAGCACAGAGACCCTGGGTCCAAGGATGCTCTTAGCGCCTGACTCTCCTTTCTTGGTGTTGGTGGGGAGGGGTGGGGGGGTTATGTGCCATCGAGTCCGTCAGGGTTTTCAAGGCTGTAAATCTTTACAGGAGCAGAAAGCCTCATCTTTCTCCGGTGGGACAACTGGTGGATTCGAACTGCTGACCTTGCAGCTGGCAGCCTAATGCATAGCCCGCTGTGCTACCACGGCTCCTTTCTTGGTGGTAGTAGGTCCCTTTGCTCTCTGACTCAAGATAAATCCTAATCCTGTAGCGTATGTGCACCTCTTTAATAAGTCAGCTGTTCTCAGTCCAGCTTCACAGATCACAGGGAGATGAGAATTTGCAACAGCTATGATGAACACATCCAATCCCAACACGGAGGATCCTTCCAGAACACTGGGACACATGGCCTAGCCAAGTGAACTTGTTCCTAATAGTCCCATAAAGTGTCTTCTCAACGTTTCTTGGCTATCTGCCATTCTCCCAGAACTCTGAGGAAGACCCACCCCAGGCGGGCAAATCTGAAACACTAGCAGACTGAACCTTCCAAGCACTCTGTTTACTGGGAATTGCCCTTCGGCTTGGGTTGGGGGAGGCCCCAGAGATTCTAGATTTTGTCACGATAGGGGAGACAATCTTGAATGCTGTGCCTCTCACTCGGCTCCTAAGTTGAAACCAGAGGCAAACCTGCCACCAATGCAGAAAGAGCGAGGGTCTACGTTTTGACGCCAGTGTGATCAGACTCTGGCCTTCCCTCCTATCAACTGTGTCGATTTGGGGGACTCACAAGGCATGAGCTGCCATCTAGCTAGCCCCCGGTTCATGGAGGCACCCCTATGTGTTACAGAGTAGAGCTACTCCATGGGGCTTTCTCAGTTGTAATCTTTATGAAAGCAGTTTCCTAGGTCTTTCTTCCATGGAACCACTGAGTTAGCAACCATAACCAACCCAGAGTCCTTGAAACTAACAGCCTCATGGATTCCCCTTCACCTGTAAACTGGAGAGAGTCAAGAGGTTGTTTAAGGGAGCAAGGGATCACTTTGGTGTAGTTCTTGGAAAATAATAAAACAAAAAACCCCAAGTCCACAGTCATTGCATTGATTTCAACCCATGACTACCCTAGAGGAGACTAGGACCGCGCCTTAGGGTTTCTGAGAGTCTATCTTTACAGGCGCCTCATCTTTCTCCCACAGAGCACGGTGTGAGTTCAAACTACCAACCATGCATAATAGCCCAACACTTACACCCACTAAACCACCAGGGCCCTTGGAACATAGTGGTGGTGGGTGGGTGGGTGCCAGCTAGTCAGTTTCAACTCATAGCAACACTGTGTAGGTTTCCAAGGCTACAGATCTTCATGGGAGCAGAAAGTATCATCTTGCTCCCATGGAGCTGATAGATTTGAACTGCCGACGGTGTGGTTAGCAGCCCAGCTGGTAATCCACTAGGCTGCCTGGGCTCGGTTGGAACATAATCATTGCTTAAGAAATGTTAGGCCTCCCCCCACACCATGTAGACACTTCAAACTACTGTAAACAATTCTACAAGTGTTTCCTTAGCCACTGCTTCAGAGTTGTAGCTCCAGATGCCTCGTGAGACGGAACCATGACTTTCCCTGCATTTGTGTTTTATGTTTAGTTTGTGTTGACACCAATTGAAGTTGCCATCGAAGACATGAAGAAGAAGACCTTACAGTTAGCGGTCGCCATTAATCAGGAACCCCCTGATGCCAAGATGCTTCAGATGGTGCTCCAAGGCTCTGTGGGAGCGACTGTGAACCAGGTACGGAAAGCCAGCTGCTCGTGTCTGTCCAGGATATTCTACACCGTCCAACTTGAGGTTGATGAGGTGTCTGACCCACATGCAGACCATGTTCCTATACTTAGATTAAACACGTGTGAGAATTACAAGACTTGGAGAGGCTTCTTCCTCTTCAGGAATCATCTCGAGGTAGAGGAGTGGACCAGTTGTCACGTGCTCCATCTCCCTAAAGGAGTCTCACACTGGGGTTAGACCTGGGGTCCCATGGACGAGGATGTGTCCATGTCCCATGTAGAGCTCTACTGGAGACAAAGGTGAGCAGAGCTCGAGGTCATCTCAGGGAACCTGTAGGAGAGAAAGGTCTACAAGAAAGGTCTAGACCTTTCTCTCACCCAACCCATGGGTCAGTTTCAGCTGATCCCAGCATTCCAGGCATTGCTAAGAAGGAGTGATCAACCATGTGACATTGACTGACCTCAATCAACCAAGCTTCTTAATCTACTTTATACCTGGATCTTCTCACAGTCCTTAGAATCCTAACTTGAGACCAGACTGGATCTTCATAGATACATTAGGATTCTAACCTGAGATGAGACTGGATCTTCAACAGATTCATTAGGATCCTAACTTGGGACCAGATTGGATTCATTAGAGTCCTAACTTTGGACCAGACTGCATCTCTCAGAGTCATTAGTATCCTATCTCCCAGCTCACCATGGAACCAGTCCTGTCTCGGGTGGATGCAGGAATGAGCTTGAACCCCCTGTCCAGTGGCCCTCCTTGGTGTCACTTCCAGGCCAGCTCTGTCCACACACACACCCTTCAAAGTACCAGTGAACCTGGGACTGCTCACTCAGTACAGTTGGATTCCCCGGGGAATTCTGAGCCCATTCCTATCAAGGGAGATTAAAGAGCAGACAGGTGGAATGGCTGTTTCTCAAACTAGAAGAAATGAGGTAGGTCCTGCCTTCCAAGTCCCAATCCTTGGTGAAAATAGAAGAGTTGATACACCCACAACCACGGATGCCTAGTTCTGTCTTAAGTGAGAAATTAAGCCAATATGGCGTTCTTCAAGAGGGCCACAGGTAAGTGTGAATGGATGGATCAAGGGTAGCCCCATTTTCAGAAAAGCCACTTAAAGCGCATACCTTAAGATGCAGGTATATTACCTTTAGATATGGGTCAGGCAGAAGGCATTGCTGCTAGAGATTGTGTTCATACCTGTATGGGTTTATTCCAAACAAAACTTGTTTCCGCACATCTCTGTCATCAGTGGGTAGCTGCAGACAAGGGCTCTCGGGAATACAATTGTCCTAGACTCCTTGTTGTTGTTGTGAAGTGCCGTCCAGTCGATTCCGACCCATAGTGACCCCTGTATAGGGCTTCCGAGGAGCATCTGGTGAGCTTGAACCGCCGACCTTGCAGTTCAAATGGCTTTGCAGTCTGGCGCATTAACCCACAGCGCCACACCAGGATTCCTTTGTTGTTGTTGTTGTTGTTGTTAAGTGCCGTCGAGTCGGTTCTGACCCATAGCAACCCTTTAGAGTGCTTTAAAAAAAATGTCCCATCAAAAAAATGGCTTCAGAGGGGACCTGCTGAGCCAGCTCAATTCAAGGCAGAGAGGTCAGCTCAGGAGGTTATGGTGACTGTTTTTTTGGGATTCCAAAGAGATCATTTTGATCGATTTTTCTCAGAGGACACAAAGCAATCCCGAGGCTTATTCTAAAGAACGTTTGAGACAATTGAAAATAGCATTTGTGAGAATAAAAGCCCAGGAAAGTTGCACCAAGGAATTTGTTTTTATTTTTTTAATCACGACAGTGTGCCTGCTTGTTCTTTGAGGACAAGGACCATCCTGTAAGAATTTCTTTAGATAACCTTACCTCATCCGCCCTACTACCCTGATATTGTGTCTTCAGGCTTCTTTTTTGTTTCTAAAAGTCAAAGAGCATTTTAAAGGAACATGGTTTGAACCCCTGGGGATGCCCAAACTGCCATCTGAATTGGTGTAAATTGAAGTGTGCAGAATTCTTTGAGGAAGAGTTAGAGAGAGGGAAATGCCGCCCCGCCCCCTCTCCTAGATGGAGCAACAATCGCCGGCTCCTTGTGTTTGTTTTTCTACTTTTGTTTCATGAAGGGCTCTGTGGTTTTTGTAGCAATCTGTTTGACTGTATTGTATATGTTCCTTGTATATGAAGGAGACCCATAAGTAGTGTCAGACTGAGAAGATACATTTTTACTTCTTGAGTATTCTTTTCAAATTCTAGACTCCTCACGATTCAAAGTCCCCTGAAAATTTAATTTTTTCTTTTTGTTCAAACCAACTACAGAATTTAATGTTCAAACTAAGAAATTACGCCAACATCCTCCCAAGTAATCAGCTTACCCGTCCAGTAACTGTATTATTTCGGTTGTTTTATTTCTCCCACCAGGGACCGCTGGAGGTGGCCCAAGTGTTCCTGGCCGAAATTCCTGCGGACCCTAAACTTTATCGGCACCACAACAAGTTGAGGCTGTGCTTTAAGGAGTTCATAATGCGGTAAGAAGGGTAACCACTGGACATTCAGGAGATGGGTGCTAGGGCTATGGGGTGCCGTCGATTCAGTTCTGACCCAGAGCCATCCTGTGAAGCATTTCTGAGGCTGACTGTCTCTACGGGAGCAGAAAGCCTCATGTTTCTTCTGTGGAGCCATTGGTGGATTTGAACTGCTGACCTGGAGGTTAACAGCCCAACACGTAACCCACTACACTACCAGAGCTCGCTATTCAGGGGAGCAGAGGTTTACAAAGATTGGTCCTCAGACCCACAGTTTCAGCATCACCTGGGACCAAACCAGGTACACCAAGCTGTGGTCACCCATAGAGTCAGAGTCCAGCTGTGCTCTTTAGGGGATCCGAGATTGTTGTTGTTGTTAAATGCCATCGAGTCGGTTCCAACTCAGCGGCCCTGTGTAGGATTTCTGAGGAACAGCTGACCTGGTGGTGGTTCGCAGTCCACTGCTGATCCTACAGTACCGAGACAAGCCACATTGAACAACTGATGTAGCGAAACGGTGGCTACAGAAAGGCACATTTTCTTTTATATGTGACGCTACGTCATCAGCACCTGTGCACCACAAAGTCGGCAGCTCAAGCCCACCTGCCGCTCCTTGGAAACTATATACAGGGTCGGTGTGAGTTGGAGCCAACTTGACGGTCCTAACAAGAACTGTTCTTTTATATGTGTCTGAACATTCCCTTTCTAGATTCTCCCCCAAATAATGGGGCTGAAACTCCGTTCCTCTTCATGGCTGAGTCACACCCCATCGTGGGCCACATTTTGTCTGTCCATCTCTATTGATGGGCGTTTGGGGTGTTGGAGCTTGTGGCTGTTAGGAATCATGCTGAGACGAACACTGGGGCGCATGTATCTGTCTGAGTCTCTGCTTCAGGTGTCTACCTAGAGTGACTGGTACAGGGGCAGCAACGCGAAGCTCAAACATGACAGTTGTGAGGTTGGTACAGGACAGGGCAGGGTGTCTTTCTGTCTCTGTGAGTCAGAACTGATCTGATGGTGCGTAATCTGTGGGTTAGGGAGTCCTGGTGTGGCGCTGTGGGCTAATGCACCAGACTGCAAAGCCGTTTGAACTGTAAGGTCAGCGGTTCAAACCCACCAGCAGCTCCAAGGGAGAAAGATGATGCTGTCCGCTTCCGTAAAGATGTGCTGTCTCGGGGACCTTAAGAAGCAGGTCTCCTCTGTTCTACAAGGTCATTACATGACGGAGTTGCCTCGATGGTTATGGGTTTGGTGTCTAATCTCCCCTTATGGTAATGCACAAGCAATCCGTTAGGACACACACCATACACTGATATCATGCCATTAATCCAACTAAGAAAACGCTATTCCCAAATGGAATCATGTCCACAGGTAGAAACACACAAGCCAAACCCACTGCCATCTCAGGAATTCCCACTCACAGCAACCCTAAAGCACTAAGTGAAATGGGCCCACAAGGTCTCCAGGTCTTTGTGGAAGCAGACTGCCTCCTCTTCCTCCCGCAGAGCAGCAGCTGATGGGTTTTAACCACAGATCTTCTGATAAGCAGCCAATCACTTTAACCACTGCGTCACCAGGGACCTCTTCCACAGGTCTAGGGGTTCAGATTCCAGCATATATTTGGGGGAACTCACAGCTCAATCCATGAACGGGCTTGGGGTGAGGTTACACATACGTTTTTTGACAGCTTTGATGTGTGTGTGTCTCCCAGACACGCAGGCACACACATGAAGCTTCTATTTACTCAGGTTGTGATGTCTCCCTCAAAAGGAGAGCAATTCTGACAACAGACAAAAAGCTAGATGACAGATGTTCTTTAATAAGTGGTACACTTGCCCACAACAAAGCCTTGAACGTATTTGGGAGATCTTTTTTTTCAGACCTATTTACTTTTTCCACACACCATCATTTAAAATGAACTCTGATTGAAGAATCCCAAAGTTGACAGAGTCCTGGCCTCCCCTCAAAAGATCCCATGAGCTCTCTGTGAGCAGGGCGGCTTCAGGGCCCCCAGCCTTGGATGATCAACCCCACAACCAATTCCATTGCTTTCCAGTCAGTTCAGCTCCTGCTGTCCCCGGGTGTCCCCGGAAAGATCTGCTCCATTGGGGTCTTCAGCTTTTTCAGAACTAGTTCACCAGCCTTTCTTCCATCGCTCTCCAGCGTGGACTCAAACCTCTAAACTTTGGGTTAGCAGCTGAACACGTTCACCGTTTGCAGCCCCCAGGGACTCTGTGGTTCACTCACCTCCCATCTTATATCTTAAGCATCAAAAGCCATAGATAGGTGAGGTGGTGAAATTGCACACCTGTAGATACTTACTAAAACTCAGTGCATTTAAATTAGGGTGAATTGTATGGCATGTAAATTACACCTCAGAATGAGGGGGCTTCAAAAAGTTCATGGAAAAATGAAAACTCTTCATTTTCCCTACCTTCGTTTGCCCGTTTTAAAGCCCCTTCGTTTTAGTGGTGAGTAAAAGCAAGTTCCCCTTTCTCATTGCTTCCTTGCTTCTCAGGTTTCATCAACATCTTGCAGCTTTTTTTTTTCTTCTTCTTCTTCTTCCCATTTTTTTTTTAAATATCATATTTGTTGTAGTTGAAAGGACACACAGCCTAGCATACTCCCAGCCCATGATTTCTGCACATACAATTTGGTGACGCTGATGGTGACGCTGATGACATACATCCTTTGAGTTATGCGACCGTTCTGACCCTCCTCACCTTGCAGTATTTTAATGAAAGGAGCGATAAGCTGATTTGCCCTGGCTGTGTTTCCCTCCCTCTCTGTTCTTGGGCAGCTGAAATGGACCGTGGGTAAGGTGCACTCAGCTTCCCCGCTACTGAGCTCTGGCTTATCAGCCCACTCAGGCTGCAGGTCAGAACGCCTGGTGTTCAAGGTGACACAGAGCGAGCCATGGTGACCACTAATCACGGAAATGTACGCTTGCCAGGGACACCATGGCAGGTCAGTCCGCTGCCTGACTCAGCAGGAACCAGATCGGACCATAAACAAGCTGGCAGCCTGAGGACTTGTTCAGCCAGCTCTACGGGCTCAGCTCGGAGCTTTCTGAGGGGAGCTGGGCCCCACCTGCCTTTTCCTGAGATAAGAACACACCTCAGGGTTTCTGAAGCTGAGATGGGGCCGATACTAGATTCTCGGGTTCTCTCCTCTGTGCCCCAAGGCAACAGACCTTTTTAGGCACTGCAGTCTGTTTCTAAATGTTCTTTGCCTTCTCTGAACTTGCTTGTTTCTGCAAAGAATGCATCATTGTAAAGCATCTGAATGAAAAGAGAGCAGAGCACAGTGGCCGCTGGTCCAGGTCCCCCTACAGGGAGGTAGTTTCAGATACACCCCAGATAGGGCTCTCAGAGTCAGCACACGGGGTGTCGGTCGGCAGGGTGCGGGGTGTTGGTGAACTGGAGTTAGGGTCTGGGGAGAACAAGGACGGGGACTTCCCCAGAGTGGCCAAAGGACGAGGACACATATGTGGGATGAGATCTGAAAACATTGCTTGCTTACACCTAGTACGAGGAGCAGGTCAGCAGTGGGGCCTATGACCTGGGTCATCCTCAGAGACACTGGTGCTGAGGGGGAAAGATGTGGCCGTAAAGACTAGCTCCCTTGAACAAAGGGTCAGTTGCTGTCTGCCATCATATCTGCACCAATTTTCATGCCTCTCCGTCCCATGTTGGTCATCCTCACCACAGTCCGAATGTTTTCATCATAAGTGACAGTAAAGGGTCAGCGTCACTTTTCATCACAGAATCTGTGTGACTCGCTGCAAAAACCGGCACCAACCCTCCTTTCGCCTCAGCTGGCCACGCAGGTCTCAGCACCGTACTTACAGTGATGGGGTTTATGATGAAGTTTCCAGGTTACAACGCAGGACCGGAAATGCTCCGGGCATGGTTGTTCTAGTCAGGACAGCTTCTTCGCAGCCATGCCTCTTCCTGTCCCTGGTGTCTGGTCCCATGGTCTGGTCTCTGCCCTGCTTGCTTATGTCACAGAGCTCTTTCAGGGCTGCTGATAAGTGCCCAAAAGTGAACCGCTCCACCATAAACCTTAGCCTGAGGACCCTCAGTTCCAGTTCCGTGGGTCAGCAAGCCTCACTCCCCAATTAAGTGTCTGGAGGCACCCCACTGCACAAATTAGCTTCCTGCCAAAAGGTCCTCAGCTTTACTTGCTCCGGTTCTGCTGCCCCTCTGCCCCTTCTCCGGTGTCCCAGCTTTCTGCCCTTGGGTCAGTGAGGTTCAGTGTTCAGGGGTCTCGGGGTCCAAAGGGTGTGCTTCTCTTCACTTCTGATTCTTTCTTTGACCATAGTGTGATCCCGGTTCCTGCTTCTCAGATGACTCATTTTGAACCACGTTAGACTCCGAAGTTTTCACAATGACCCTGTTAACAATCACTCACAACCAAATCAGACCACCGCTCAGCATTTTCCTCACCTTCCCTTAGCCAGACCCATCCGGAAAAAGTCATTGGTGGGAGGTGATAGAGACTGTGACTAGAAGATACCTGGGGGGGCGCTGTAGGATAAGCACTCAACTACAAGGCCGGTTTGAACTGCAAGGTCAGCGCTTCAGACTTACCAGCTGCTCCTATACAGGGTCACTGTGGGTCAGAACCGACTCGATAGTACTTTACAACAACAACAACATGGCTAGAGGAAATGATTCCTGGTAGTATGTTGTTGTTAAGTGCCGTCGAGTCGGCACTTAACCAGAGCTCCTGGTAGTGTAGTGGGTTACAAATTGGCATGCTAACCACAAAGTCAGAAGTCCGAATCTCCCAGCCACTCTATGGGAGAACAATGAGACTAGAAGATGCCTTGGTGGTGGCGCTGCAGGATAAGCGCTGGACTGCTAACTTCAGGGTCTGCAGTTCAAACCCACCAGCCACTCCACAGGAGAAAGATGAGGCTTTTTGCTCCGTAAAGATTTACAACCTTGGAAACCCTGTCGATTTCTGGGTCACCATGAGTCAGAGTCCACTGGCTGTCAGTGGGGTGACTAGAGGTAATTCTGTACCATCCAGTCGGTTCTGACCCATAGCGACCCTGCATAGGAAGCAGAAAGCCTTATCTTTCTCCTACAGAGTGACTGGTAGATTTGAACTGCTCACCTGTGGTGCGCAGGCCAGCTCATATCCACCACAGGCTCCTGGGATGGTTAGTAGAGACATTAAACAATTCACTTCAGCACACCTGCTTGCTGGCTAGAGTTGCTTTATCGTGGTGGTATGGAACCAAACCCACAGCATCTCCCTGGTCTGTCTGCACTCAGGAATGTTGTTGTTGTGGGCTGCCCATGTGACAGAGTAGAGCTGCCTCACTTGTGGCACTATAGGATCAGCACTGGACTGCAAACCACAAGGTCAGCGGTTCAAGCCCACTGAGCTGCTCCTCGGAAACCCTATACAGGGTCGGTATGAGTTGAAACTAACTTAAAGGCACTTAACAACAGCAACCTTGTGGGAGCAGATCGCCAGCAGATCGCCAGCAGATCGCTGGTGAGCGGAGCTTGAACTGCCGGCATCTCGGTGAGCAGTCAGGCGCTCACTTACGAGCAGGCCGTTTGTGTGACATAAAACCCTGCTGTTTCCTGTTTCCCCTTGATGTTTCCGACTCAGCTGTGGTGAAGCCGTGGAGAAAAACAAGCATCTCATTACCGCCGAGCAGCGGGAATACCAGCAGGAGCTGAAGAAGAACTATAGCAAGCTGAGAGAGAACCTCCGGCCCATGATGGAGCGGAAGATTCCGGAACTCTACAAGCCGCTCTTCCGAGTGGAGAGCCAGAAGAGGTGAGGTTGGGTGCCCCAGGGATGCTGCGTGGATACCACCCCAAGTCTGGGGGGTGGGAGTGAATGCCAGGAGTCACAGCTGCCAACAGAGCGTGAGCCATTCTGCCTGGGCCCCTGGGTTCCTCCCCTGAGCGCTCGGGGACCCCTGCACTGCGTCCTGCCTGGTCTTCTGAGGAAGAGACCCTGTGTGGTTCCTGGTGTCCTGTGAGGGGAGCCCAGCCCCTTCCACATGCTTCTGGTGGGCCATTTTCCGTGCCCTCCTGCTCTTTCTCAAACCAACGGATCTCCCTCACCTGTGCTTTTGTGTTTGTTTACATTCTCTCTCTCTCTCTCTCTCTCTCTCTCTCTCTCTCTCTCTCTCTCTCTCTCTCTTCTTCTCGTCTTCATTTCAGAGACTCCTTCCACAGATCTAGTTTCAGGAAATGTGACACCCAGTTGTCACAGGGCAGCTAAGAAGAGGCACCTTGGCACGCAGAACTACTGCGGCCCCAGAGACGGGCCACTCAGTCCTGCAGCCACTCTGGAAGCTCTGGGGTTGATGGACCATAGGAGTCACACCCAGTGGACTGGGACCCGCAGTGGACCTTACTGGAGGGGGTGGGTGGAGGGTGCCCCTGCAAGGGTCCTGTGTGTTGAGGGATTGTCCCAAAAAACACAGCGCCTATGGCCTACCCTGATGGCTGTTCACTCAGCCGTCTACACAGCAAGATGACTCCTGGCTTGGATTTGGATCAAGAATGGACATTTCTCCCAGCAACCTAGTCAAAATGACCCTCACTCATCCCCTATTTCAGAGAAGGAAGTGGAACTTGGGAGACTGGGCATTGTTTTCAGTTTATCTGTGAGAGGCATAGAGGTCTCGCTCTGCATCTAAAAATCCCAATGGTTAGAGGTTTGGGGGTAGACTTGTGAGCTTGCTGCCTTACTGGTAATGGCAGATCCATAGCTGTACACATGTGTTATGTTAAGTTCAAAATCAACAATGTTTGTAGAGGAACACAACTCCAGGCGTTGATGAAGACACACATGGTACGCTGTGCTTTCAGCCCAAAGTTGCAGATATTGCATTGACTTAAATTGAAAGAATGTCTACTCTTCGCCTGTTCTCTTTCTTTGCTCTTACTCTGGCTCACTGGTCATCCCCACCACCCCTCTGGGACCAAGTTTATTTCATAAAAAGGATACTATCTCTGCTTTCATTTCAGAAGCCTGTGCAAGGCATCTATCAGCCCGTGTCCAAAATTGTATGCAACTTTGCATTTTTTGACAATGAATTTCGAGAAAGAAAAGAAGTTATAGTTTGAGAATTAAATTATATATTTTTAATACAATGAAGAGTCTTGACTGATACTAAGTATCTAATAAGAATTACAAGCAAAATGTGGTCCTATTGGCCACTGGCGTTTTTGGTGTTTGTTTATTTGACAGCTCAGAGTTGGGGTTTTGTAAACCCTTCAAAGAAGAAAGACCTAATGGTAGTACAGTCAGAGTGCTTCAAGACTTGTTGTGGTGGTGGTGGTTGCTACAATGTCATCGAGTCGGTTCCAGCTCCTAGCAACCTTGTATGGGTTTCCGAGGAGCGGCTGTATTTAATCTTGGTGTTCGTGAAAGACAGTTTGGGTTTTCCAGGCTACAGCTTTGTGCATATTCTCAGGAATGTATGAACTTATAGTTTGAAAAGACGACCCTTTAATAAAAGTAACAAAAGCAGAACCAGTCAGTGTTTTGTTCTGTTTCCCTGAGTCAGAACTGACTCGATGGCATCTAACAACAACAAAGTTGGCTATTAACAACAAAGTGCCAAACAAGTTTCCTTTGGAGTTATTTGGGAGAAGAACTCTTTCTAACATTTTTAAGGGTAAATCGAAAAGTATTCCCACAGAAAATTCATAGAAACCTTTATTAAACAAAAACATCAACATGTAAAGCTATCGTCTCTCAACATCTCTTCCATCTGGATCTATCTACTCCTGAAGGCAGGGTTGACGTCTCTCTAACTCTTCCCCATTTCAAGAGGCAGCATATGATCAAGAACTGATGGTAGTCAAGCTGCATTGAAGGCAATGAAGAAAAACCGAGTTCCAGGAACAGACGGAATACAAATGGAAACGTTTCAACAAACCCATCCAGCACTGGAGACGCTCACTCATTTCTGCCAGGAAATTTTGAAGACGGCTACCTGACCGACTGATTGGAAGAGCCCCATAATTGTGCCCATTCCAAAGAGAGGTGACCCAACAGAATGCGGAAACCACTGAACAATATCATTAATCTCACACATGTATAATGCTGCTACAAATCATTCTCAAATGTTCACAGCAGGACATCAACAGGCAGCTGCCAGAAATTCAAGCTGGATTCAGAAGAGGATGTGGAACGAGGGATATCATTGCTGATATCAGATGGATCTTGACTGAAAACAGAGAATACCAGAAAGATGTTTACTGGTACTTTATTGACTATACAAAGCCATTCAGCTGTGTAGATCATGACAAACTATGCCTAACATTACGAAGAAAGGGGATTCCAGAATGCTTCATGGTACTCATGAGGAAGATATACGTAGACCAAGGGCAGGTGTTTGAACAGAACCAGGGACTGTTGCGTGGTTTAAAATCAGGAAAGGTGTCCATCAGGGTTGTATCTTTTCATCACACTTATTCATTGGATGCTGTATGCTGAGCAAATAATCTGAGGCAATGGATTGTATGAGGAAGAATGTGGCATCAGGATTGGAGAAGGACTCATTAACAACCTTACGACATGCAGATGATACAATCTTGTTTGTAGGAAGTGAAGATGACGTGAAATACTTACTGATGAAAATCAAAGATTACAGCCTCAGTATGGATTGCAACTCAATGTAAAGAAAACAAAAATCCTCACCCCTGGACCAATAAATAACATCATGATAAATGGAGGAAAGGTCGAAGTTGTCAAAGTCTTCATTTTTCTTGGATCCACTGAGGGAATCAAATGACGTATTGCACTAGGCAAATCTGCTGCACAAGACTTCTTTAAAGCATCCAAGAGCAAAGGTGTCAGTTTAAGGATTAAGATGTACCTGACCCAAGCCATAGTATTTCCAATAGCCTCACATGCATGTGGACGTTGGACAGTGATGAAGAAAGCCTGTAGAAGAATCGATGCATTTGAGCTGTGGTGTTGGGTGAAGAATATTGAAAGCACCGTGGACTGCCAGAAGAAAAAATACGTCTTGGAAGATGTGCAGCCAGAATGCCCCTTACAAGCAGGGATGGTAAGACTTCATAAGTTATACCTTGGACATGTTGTCTGAAAGGACCAGTCCCTGGAGAACGACATGCTTGGTAAAGTGGAGGGAGGAAGACCCCCCAACGAGAGACCCCCCCAACGAGATGGACTGACACAGTGGCAGTATAACAATGGGCTCAAACAGAACAATTGTGAGGATATGCAGGACGGGGCGGGGTTTTGTTCTTTTGTGCATAGAGTCACTATGAGTCAGGAGCAACTGAACAGCTCCTAATAACAACAACCCCTCCCCAAAGAAATCTGCACTCTTAGATTTACAACACGCAGTTTAAACATCCTCAAGGGACTCAAATTATGTTCCTTTTGAATGTCTTTGGAGTTTAAGGAACAAAAAGAAGTCTATGAAGGGGCGAGTAGGATGGATGTGTAAGGTTTCCTAAGGAAAGTCTCCTAAGACAGCCCTTGCTACCTTCAAAGAATGATTAGATGCCTTATCATGATGGAACAAAAACCCTCACCACAACTTTCTGGACCTTTTTCCCACCAATGTAGTTTTCCATTTTCTTAAGTCTTTTCCTCATAAGCCCCCGTGATTGTCTGTCCTTCTAGAAAACCTATCAAGATCACTCCTTTGGAATTCTCCCCCCAAAAAAACCAGTCTCCATAACCTGAGCTGACCTCTCCGCCTTGAATTGAACTGGCCCAGCCGATCCCTCTGGAAGCTGGCGTTTTGATTGGACCGTTTGTTTATAAGCCCTCTAAGGAGACCAAGTCAAGTGTAATCCCGAGAGGCCTTGTCTACAGCCATCCACTGCTCACAGAGATGTGTGTAAGCATGTCTTGTTTGGAATCAACCTGTATGCTTATGAATTGGAACCCTAGAGGCAGACCTTTTGACCTACCCTGCAATTATACATTTCATTGCTTTCTTCAGTGAGTGGAGTCCACATTGTATTTCATTCTGTCTAGATTTCCCAGGAGTCCTGTTGTGGTGCTGCAGGCTATAATGCACTGGACTGCAAAGTCAGTTTGAACCACAATTCAAACTCACCAGTAACTCCTTGGAAATCCTATACAGGGTCACTATAGGTCAGAACATGGGAACACTGAATGGTTTAAAATTAAGAAAGGTATGCACTACCTACCAGCTGCTCTGAATGGATTAGAAGGTCTGGGAGAGAGTGGGAGAAAATGTGAAACAAAACTCAAAATCATAAAAAAAAAAAAAAGGCTGAGGTTTACTGGTCAGATAGAGATGGTGGAACCCCGACTCTATGGCCCTTGACCACCCTTCAGGTATGGAACTGAACCCACCCCCATGGCTCTGCTTCCAACCAAGCAGTAGATGGGGGGACAACAGCAATAGTGAGGTACACACCCCATAGAATGGTCAACCATTCCAGATCAAAGGGCAGCGTTTAACCCAGGACAAAGTTCAGAAGGGTGGGGAAAGAAGGGGGATGGGAACAAGAACCACAGGGAGGAAGTGGGCCAAGTGAGGTTACATGGAGGGGATTGTAATCATTGAGATGAAACAAAATGGATGATTTGGTGAAAGAAAAACACGATCTGCCCTGTAACCACTCAATTCATAATAAAAAGATTAAAAAAAAAAAAAAGGAATAATGAAGTTAACTGGGTCACTGAACAGAATCATCTGGAAGAAACTTGACCACAATGTTGGACAGAAGTGAGGCTCTCACTTCATTGTGGGCACATCATCAGGAGGAAGTCATCCCCACAGAAGGAGCTCACGCTTGGTAAGAGAGGAAGAGCCTCGATGAGATGGACTCAAGCCTAGCAATGATTGTGAGGATGATGTAGCTCTGGGCAGTGTTTCGTTCCCTTGTCTGTAGGGCCACTATGAATTGGAACCAACTAGATGGCACCTAACAACGATCATACTGGTTCAGGCACCGTTTGGTTCCAGATGCACACGGTGTTCTGAGGTCCTATCCTCAAGCTTTCCACAGGGGTCTCTCAGCATTTCAGTCTCTCCTTTGATGGAGGAGCTGTCCTGAGACTCGCCCCTTCCACCACCATGCCCCACAAGGAAGAGGTGTGGCTCCCAGCACTCCCAGTGGAAATCCTTGGGTACACACTGGGTGGGAGACTCCCACCAATCAGTGCTCCTCCCTGGAGCTAAATGTAGAATCAATATCGCTCAAACCACGTAACTGAGGGTGGAGGACTGGGACTTCCTCAGAGGACCAGGAAGGAAGAACCAGGAAGCCCTATTCAGGGTCACTATGAGTTG